GTCCGCAAAACCGCAAGGGATACAACTTTGTGTAACTTGTGGTTTTAGGGTTTTATCATAGTATATCCAAGACGAAAAAAGTTAAAATGCCTTTGGGTCATAGCAAGCTTGTAAAACGGCATGTTAGAAAAAAGTAGTTATGGTTAAATTTCTCAACAATTTAAAGTTGGTTTTTCACCATCAAATAAGTGAATACCCATAAAACATATGTAAAAGTTCTCTCAATTCATGAAAAAAATAATAATAGGTATAGTTATGAAATACAATCACACCAAATCTTGTTCAAACTCAATTTTATTTGAAAGTAAAAAAAAGATAAATTTTGGATGAATAGCGATATGACACTATTCACCTGAAATTTCTTTTTTTAAAAAAAATAAAGTTGAGTTTGGACTTAAAATTTGGTGTGAATGTATTTTATGCTTATGGCTATCTATGTTTTATATATGGTTTTCACGAGTTTCAACTTGTTTGATGATTTTCACTAAATATGTCCTTTAAAGTCATTGTGAAAAAATAAACTATGAATAAAAATATTAAAATCAAATAAGATTAAGTATCCAAAATTTTTTAATTGATAGACAAAAAGCATGGCCCTCATCATTTAGCCAAATACGAATAATATGTCATACGAGTATTAGAAAATAAAAGAATTTGTTGTAAAACTTATATATATGTGTGTTCTTGGCAACTTAAATATCAATTCTGAAAAATAAACTTTCATAAAAAATTAAAATTAATTTCAAAATTAAATTTTAAATTTCAAGTTTTAGCATCGGCTGATGTTGTACCAAGGAAACAATGGGAATCAAATGGTGGTGCTTTACATGCAGTTTAATTTAGCCTGGGACGTAGCCACCGCCTTGCGCCCGCCCACCCGTGAAAACTCCATTAAAATTTAATATTGTTAAATAAATTGACGATAAAATTTTTATAGTAAATTATAGTTACAGTGAAGTTTAGCCAGGTAAAAAAAAAAAATCTTTCCAGCTTCTGAATTTAGCCTGACAGATAATACCAATCCAGAAGCTCCGTTCCGTCACGTCATCGTCCGTATAGAGGTAGGCCGGGCGTGCGCGAAACTTACTGCTACGGAGTGAGGCCGAACTCGCTATCCCCGGCCGGATAAGACCGACCGACTCGACTGACTGGTATACAACTATACACGCACGCATGCCCATTATGGAAACGCTACGCACGTAGGAGTATACTCCACGCTTTGCAACCGGTACTCTCCTGTAAGATCGATCGAATCCTAACGGCAAACCCCGCCCATCACGATCGATCATGCACCAAACCTGCATGCTCGTCCTTTTCCGTTCTTTCCATCTTACCCCCTACGTCAAAAAAAAAAAAAAAGACAAACTTATATGACATTTTTTTTATAATTATTATTTTTATTGTTGTTAGATGATAAAATATGATTAATACTTTATGTGTGACTTATCTTTTTAAATTTTTTTCATATTTTTTTCAAATAAGACGAACGGTCAAACGTTAACGGTAGACACAGAAACTCAGGTTTTGTCTTTTTTGGATGGAGTGAGTAGTGTGTTTAGTTCCATGTCAAACTTGGAAGTTTGATTAAAATTAGAAGTTTGAAAAAAAAAGTTGAAAGTTTATGTACGTAGGAAAGTTTTGATGTGATGGAAAAATTAGAAGTTCGAAGAAAATGTTAGGAAATAAACCAGGGCTTATACTAGCTGAATGGGGTTGCAACTGAAATTAAAAAGGAGAACCCATCATATACATGTATCTTAAAGTCTCAGAAACTAAAATATAATTATTCACATTGTAAAATCTTCATATAGTATTTTATCACTAGTTTGGTGCCTCGCTTTAAAATAAAATTGACTTGTTTGGTTATTGAGGCCGAGGACGAAACATAAGTCCACAATTCTTATTGTTTGAGACCCACATGTCACTGGTGGTGAGTGGTGGCATACACCACCATTTAGGTATTTTCAAAGAGAAAATTTGCATGTTTGTCACGCGTAAAAATTGGTTTTTCTAGAATGTCATCGTTAAATAAGGGATTCAAATACCACTCTTAAATCGTGAGTATTCGCTACGATGTCATTTTCGTTGTTTTCTGCATCTCCGAATCATTTTTCTTCCATTTTATTTCTCTTGAACGTTTATACCCCTGGCTTAATATGTTGAATGAGACTGTGTTTTTAGATTAGGCTAGTTAACACAGATAGCCATGTGAGAAAAAAATTACACTACACGAATCTGTCTAATTTTGCAGCTGCTCATATAGATGTTACGTTGACAATTAAGCAGAATCCATCGGTCGCCCAGAAAATTAAGGTTGGGTTCAAATCCCACCTTTCTCAACTCTATTCTCTCGTTTTTTCACGCATACGTTATCAAACTACTCAACCATATATTTTTTTAAAAAAGTTTATATGCAAAAGTTATTTTTTTAAAAAAATCATATTGACCTATTTTTATAAGTTTTTCAGTTAGTACTTAATTAATTATCCGCTAATAAATTATCACATTTTTCGTGCAGGGAGGAAAGATTTCAAGTCTTGTTGCTCTCTAACTCAAGCCTAAGAGCAGGTACAATAGCAGGCTATAAGCAAGCTATAAACATATTTTAAAGAGATAAAGAAAGAGAGAGAATAGCAGCGTGCTACAGATCTGTAACCAACTGCAGCACGGACTCTAAGACGTAATGTGTGTATGACGGGTGGGACCGGGTATTAATAGTAGGGAGTACCTATACATCTTTCGAAAGATTTTTATAATCGTATCACACAGATTTTTAATCTTTAGATTAAAATCCGATAGATATAATAAAAAGCAAAAAGTAATTAAGAAACACCATAAATGGACACTAAATTACCATATCCTCAATAAAAAGACCAAATCCAATACAAAATTTAAAATTTACATGCGAAGATTCAAAAATTACAGTGTAACTTACAAAAGTTACAGTGTAAGTTTCATAAATTACACTGTAACTTACAAGAAAATGCACTGTAAATTTGAGTAAGAAAATCGAGTGAGAGATAAGAAAAAATCTTTCGAGTGAGATATAGCAAAATTGTTAATAGTATAGTAAGCAACTATTGTATGGATTGTCTATTACAATTGCTAAAGATGATTTGGAACTAGTAGTTGACTATACTATTAAACTTGCTCTAATAAAACTTCTGTTTTTCAGGAGATGATGTTTCTAGGTCCCTTGAGCCGTTTTCAGTTTCCACCATTCCTGCGTAGTAATTGCGTGCGTACGATGGGCAAAGGCAGGCGTACGTGGATGCGTGCGATGATGTGGGCGCACATTGGAAAGAATTGGATGGATTTGCAAGAGCTCCGATGTGTGTATGATGGGGGAGGAATAAATTGGGGCGTGTCAATGTGATGGCAGTATGACACCTGTATTTTTTTTGGCTTGGCTGGTCAGTGGGAAATGGCGTGCCGCGTGCGATATTCCTCTCGTTTTCCAGGTACGTGTTCACATCGGTGTTCTTTGGTAGTAATAACGGGGTATTTAGTTGGGGAAAAGGAAATTTTTGGGTATCACATCGAACGTTTGACCGGATGTCGGAAGGGGTTTTTGGACACGAATGAAAAAACTAATTTCAGAACTCACCTGGAAACTGCGAGGCGAATCTTTTGAGACTAATTAAGCCGTCATTAGTACATGTGGGTTACTGTAACATTTATGGCTAATTACGGACTAATTAGGCTTAAAAGATTCGTCTCGCGATTTCCCCCATAACTGTACAATTAGTTTTTCTTTTTATCTATATTTAATGCTTCATGTATGTGTTTAAAGATTTGACGTGATATTTTTGGGAAAAAATTTTGGATAACTAAACGGACCCTAACATCTGGAAGAGCTTTCTTTGTCACAGAAAAGATGAAGAAATGTCCTTTCGACTACAATACGGGTATGATGTGGATTTACCAACCGGGAAGATATTTTATAGTGCTAGGCTGTGACACTAAAAAAATTAAAAGTTTGGTTGAAATTAGAACGATGTGACGGAAAAGTTGAAAGTTCGTGTGTATAGGAAAATTTTATTATAATAAAAAAGTTGAAAGTTTGAAGAAAAAAATTGCAACTAAACACGGCCCTGGTACTAGTATTATAAATAGATAATCCATTTGTCTTAAAACAATTGTATTTTTACTTCAATCATTGTTCAATCAAATTCTCCTTACTCTACCCTAAACATATATCTCTTCCATATAAATTAAAAGCATTATATTCTTTCTTCTCAAATCTTAATACATATAACTAAGCAACTTAAAATATAAGTATCGTGAAAAGTAGGGAATATTATTCTATAAGGAAAAAAAAGGTAACCGACTCTTAGATTTATAAATTTGTAAAATGTGTATATGTTTAATGTACCACTGGAGATCCAAACTACAGATAACACAACTTGGGCTCTGACACAACCATCTATGGCTGTGAGAACTGAGAACCTTGCTTTTGGCTGTGTTTAGTTCCACCGATAAAAAAAAAACCTCGTTTTTCACGCACACGTTTTCCGAACTTTTCAGAAACTTTTCGCTCTTCACTTTTCTTCACATATCAAACATACCGAGGCATATTATAGCAGAGAGGTCTAAATGTAAAGTTATCCCATTTCTTTTCTTCTTCTTTTTTTTTTCTGGAATCATAGGATTCCATTATAACCTTGGTGTGGCAGAATCACCATCAACCAGAGACTCGAACCCAGGGGGATGCCGTCCCAGAGGAGGTTGGCATTCTCGGGTTCATTACAACCAATCGCAGCTAGACCATGAGCTACTTTATTACACTCACGTGGACAAAACGTCACACAAAACGATCTAAAAAACGCCAGGATAGTGTTCTTCATCTCCTGGATTAGCCCTCCTGTTGGATTTCTTCTTTTTTTTTGATATATGGAGTTATCCAATTTCTTTGTGTGAGGGAAAGTTATCCTCCTTTGTGGATGGCCACTCCAGGTGGGCCATGTTGTGGTATTTGGGCCTTCACTGAACAACCCTGCCCAGCCCATCGCTGCTTTACTCCCCCATCAACGCCGCTCGCTCACTACTCGCGCCGCCGCTTCCGCCGCCGCTCCGCTCCAGTCGCGTCGGCTTCCCGCCTCCTCGCCGGCGAGCCGTGCCTCGACGCTCTCCCTCTGTTGCTCCGCCGGCCAGCAGCATGCCGCGCTTCTGCTCCCACTAGCTCCCGCCACCGCCGCCCCTACTGAGCCCGGTGAGACCGTGAGGCGGTGGTGTGCACCAGTCCGGCAGTTCGCCCCCCTCCTCCTCCCAATCCGGCCGCCGCTTCATCACCGCCGGCGAGGCTCCGCGTCTCCTCCTAGGTCGCGCTGCTTCGTATCACAGAGAGAGGTGAGCCCCTTGCAACTTGTTGCCAGAGTTGCCAGAAACAAAAAAGATCGATGTTCTTGGACTGAATCGATTGTTTCTTGGTAGGCCAGCTCGGTCTCCGGATAAGCAAGAACCATGGCGTCTGCTGCTGCCGCTTACGGCGTCGGGGCTCCACTCAAGCTCGCTGCAAGGCGGCATGGGGCACTCGCGCTGGCCGGTAGCCATCGCTGCAGTGGATGGAAGTCTTCAGTGTCTTGCCCTGTTCCTCAGGCTTGGATGGGCAGTTGCTCTTCTGTCGCAATGCGCCGTGTCGCCTCCGGTTCTCGATTGATTGTTCAGGCTTCAAACAGCGGGGGCTCAAGCTTGAAGGCATCATTGGCTGATGCTAGCCTGCTTACTGGTAAAGTAGTATTAGATTAGCTCAGCTTATTTTGTTCTTTCTTCAGGTGGTTTATGTTTATGGAAAAGAAAAATCCAAAGTCCCAATGCGCTATGAGATGAAACTTTGTCGTTGAGTTAGTCGAGAGAACTTGTTATTAGATGCAAAGTCTGGGGCAATGGTTTAATTTCCTGTTTCCTGTTTCATTTCAGAAGAGAGGATAACTGTTTTGGTGATTGGAGGTGGAGGAAGGGAGCACGCTCTCTGTTACGCCTTGAATCGCTCTCCGTCTTGTGATGCGGTCCTATGTGCCCCTGGGAACGCAGGTATTGCTCAGTCTGGAGATGCGACCTGTATATCGGACTTAGACGTCTCCGATAGCGATGCCGTTATCGCGTTCTGCTGCAAGAGGGGAGTGGGAATGGTTGTAGTAGGTCCTGAAGCTCCTCTTGTTGCCGGTCTTGTGAATGACCTTGTGAAAGCTGAGATACCAGCATTTGGTCCTTCCTCAGAAGCTGCGGCTTTAGAAGGATCGAAGGACTTTATGAAGAAATTATGCGATAAGTACAATATTCCTACAGCTAAGGTACCTTCTTTTTACATTAGTTTTCAGCCCTATAAGTTTAATCTTTCTGGGACAATGAACATTTGCTCCAATGAGAGTACGGGGTGCCTAAATTTGGTTGATGTGATATCCATGTTTAAGAAAGAACCAAAGATGCATCATTTCAGGCATAATCACACTGATATTTCCTTTGTATTGTTACAAGGTTGCTAACCAAGTTCATATTTGACTTGCTTGATAGTATATCAGTTATAGACAATATAAGTAATCATCTCAGAGTTAATGATATATCTTCAGCTTTCTAGGTGAACTGTACTTAAGCATTGCCCATATGTCCTGAAATTTCCCTTGGGATTGCCTGAGTTTTGAAATAAAGTCATTGTGTTGTACTGTAAACGTTCTAGAAAAGATAGGGAAAAACAGAGCTCCTCTACATAAGTCTATATGTATAATTTGAGATGTTAATAATAATGGTAACATAAGTGCTTATATTTCTTTTATAGTATCGCACATTCACAGATCCTGCAGAAGCTAAACAATATGTCAAAGATCAAGGCGCCCCTATTGTTGTCAAAGCTGATGGATTGGCAGCTGGAAAAGGCGTGGTTGTTGCTATGACTTTGGATGAGGCATTTGAAGCCATAGACTCTATGCTGGTTCAAGGGTCATTTGGTTCTGCTGGTTCACGGGTTATCATTGAAGAATATCTGGAGGGTGAAGAAGCCTCTTTCTTTGCATTAGTGGATGGTGAAAATGCATTGCCACTTGAATCGGCACAAGATCACAAAAGGGTTGGTGATGGTGATGTAGGCCCAAATACTGGTGGTATGGGTGCATATTCCCCTGCACCAATAGTGACAGAAGAGCTTAAGCACACAATTATGGATAGTATAATAATCCCAACAGTTCAAGGTATGGCAGCTGAAGGATGCAAGTTTGTTGGTGTATTATATGCTGGACTTATGATTGAGAAGAAATCTGGTCTGCCTAAGCTTATCGAGTACAACGTACGATTCGGTGACCCAGAATGCCAGGTTAGTGATTCTCTATCTATAAACTCTAACCTTCAATGATGCACTATCTATTAGGAAACTATGTATATCTATTATAATTTAGATTTTGGTTTATCTGATCATGCTTTGGCCAAGGTGTTCTTGTTGGACATTATAGTAAAACAAAATTGCATGACTATTTTGGATTCTGGTTCCTCTGATCACACTATGGCTAAGATGTTCTTGTTGGACAATAGAATGAAACAAACATGCGTGTCTTATCATCAGAATTTTTCTCGTTCTACAGTTTTGACACCCTGGTCTGCATCTAGCAGGTCAAACTCTACAGGGGGTCTAGTAAGAAGCTGAGTAGATTTCATTCCTGTAGTGCAATGAGTGGTGCATTTTTGTGTCATTTTAGTGATGGTCAAATTTCAAATTTTATCTACTTTTGCATATTTGTTAGTGATGGCCAACCGTTTGATGTATGAAATTTTCGAATTTATACCAGTGCAGATTAAACAATTCTGACTGGCTACTAAAATGTTTATCTTTGAAGTAAAATTGCTTTTAGAGTATAGACTTTTAAAATTATGCATATTATTGGCAAATAACAAAGGCAAAATGTTAAAATCATGAAGATTGTCAATTGAAAAGGTATATTATATTTTTATGGCCAGAGGTAGTAGTTGTTTATCTCAGCCTGAATTGTTCATCCAGCATCTGGCCCAATTATCCAAGATTCCCTTGTGGGCTGCATTTTCATGAATAGATTGATAGTCCTGTGGCATATTCGTTCTGCTTGTCTGGTACGTATCCCAACTATAGATTTTCCAGATAAGATCGGGTTTTTGTTCTTTTGCTGCTAAGCAATCTAGTTGAACTGTTCACTATTTTTACCATCAAATTTCGATTATACTTTTCTCTACTGATATATACTTCTTTTTTGCACCTCAGGTTCTTATGATGCGATTAGAATCCGATCTAGCACAGGTTCTGATGTCTGCGTGCAGAGGGGAACTGGGCGATGTTTCACTAACCTGGTCACCTGAAATGGCAATGGTGGTTGTGATGGCAAGCGAAGGATACCCCGGATCTTATAAGAAGGGGACTGTAATAAGAAATCTCGAGAAGGCCGAGCAGGTCTCGCCCGCGGTAAAAATATTCCATGCTGGAACAGCACTGGATGGGGATGGAAATCTTGTCGCTGTCGGAGGCCGGGTGCTCGGGATCACGGCTAAGGGCAAAGACATTGAGGAAGCACGGGCAAGAGCATATGATGCAGTAGATGTTGTTGACTGGCCTGAAGGATTCTTCAGGCGCGATATTGGTTGGAGAGCACTGAAGCACAAGCAAGTGGCCAATTACTGATGCGGATTTTCCTGAGCACACCACAACTATGGTGAGCATGTAATGTTAAGAGCAATAAAGAGAAAATTTGTCACTTCTGTGGTTGAGGAAAGGCAAAACCATAGCTCAAATTTGAGTTTTTTTTTTTGTACCAACTGTTAAATTTGAGTTGGGCTTGCATTTTGAGGAACAGCCAGATGAACAATGACCGAGTTTTGACTTCCACAAGTAGAGAGAGAGCATTGTTCGGTGCTTAATATCTACTTCCGTTGGTTAGTGGTATTAAGGGATTCCATATGTAAGTCGTTTTAGACTTGTGCACAAGAATTAAGATAACAATCTCAATGATTTTGTTACCCTTCATTTAAACTACATCAGAAAAAGATTACTCATTTATTGAAAAGCATCTAATAGTTGTAAAATGATTTGCATTTAGGAAAGAGTGGAGGAAGAGTAAAATGACTTTCATTTAGGGCAGTCAAGAAATGTAGAGGTCTTGTTTTGGTTTGAGACCTTACCAAATTTTGATGTGTGAGTAGAAGATTTCGAAATTACCAAAATTTGGTATGCTTTGGTCGAGTTGCGATTTCAAGAGTTTGTTTTGTTTGTCACATTACTAAAAATCGGTATTATTAATATTAATAAGTTATTTTTTTGAGACAAAATCATTTGTACAATAGCATTTCTTGTAACTCATACTTGTCGATGATATTTTTTGGATTTAGACGCTTGTCAATGGCATTTCTTATATTATCTCTAATTGAATATATCTATATCAAAATTAAGATTTTCGATTTCAGATGCAACCTGCACTTTGCACATAAAAAAGCTTTAGATATAGTGTACTACTAGTAGCGATTAGCGAATAGCACTGTAGCTGGCCTTAACTGGGCCGAGTACTTCTCAGGTGGTCCAATCTGGCCCGTAGTACTTCCGGTTGGGCCGGCGGTCGCGAGACGGTCGCCGGACTTCCGCCGGCGCAGTCGCCGGCTGGTCGTCATCGGCGGCCGCGACGCAGGGGTGAAGCCGCCGCACTTGACGCCGCCGCACTTGGAGCGCAGGGCGGCGACGTCGACGGCGGCGAGGCCGGGGCACTCGCTCACGTGGAGGACCTCCAGGTGAGGACAGCCGCCGTCCACGATCGCCGCCAGCTCGTCGTCGCCGGCGCCGGCGACGCCGACGAGCGTCAGGTGGCGCAGCTCGCGCATCGCCGCGATCCCGAGCGGGCGGCGGCGGTGGTGGTCGCCGCCGCCGTCGTCGTCACGCCACGCGGGGTATCTGCGAACCTCGAGCCGCCTCAGCCGCGGGCACGCCTCGGCGACGGCGGCGTAGACGCCACCGCCGCCGCCGCCGCCGCCGCGGACCTTGCGGCAGTAGCTGAGCACGAGCTCCTCGAGAAGAGGAGCCATGGCGATCATCTGGGCGAGTCCATTGCTGGTCACCAATGAGCACGACTCGAGCCAAAGCCTCTTGAGAGTGGGCGAGCTGCATAAGAACACGGAAAATTCAGTTGTAGGGGGGGTGTTTAGATAAGAGAGGTGAAGTTTTGGCGTATCACATCGGGTGTTTGGTACTATTACAAAATCCGTCAGTAAACCGCGAGTCGAATTTATTAAACCTAATTAATATATCATTAGTTAATGTTTACTGTAGCACTACATTATTAAATCATGGAGCAATTAGGCTTAGAAGATTTATTTCACAAATTAGACGTAATCTGTGCACTTAATTATTTTTTAGTTTAAACGTTTAATGTGATAGAGTGAAAAATTTTGGGTGGGATCTAAACATGACCGTATATTCAAAATTCGATCCAAATTAATCGTGCGAATTTGAGAGAAAACTTGGTGATATACATATACCTGTCCCCTACATGTTTGAGGAGCTTGTTGGTGACGAAGGCTCCCGCCATGAACGCCTCGAGCTGGCCGTCGGCGCGCTTGACGGCCTCGTCCGCCATGACGCACAGCACGGCTCTCTTCTTCTTCATGGCAGCTATGTCGACGCATCGCCATAGGTGAGGCAGCTTGGTGGCGTCGAGCCATGGGCGGCACACGAGGCCGGCGCCCATGAGGACCTCGACGGCGCCGAGCTTGGCAAAGACCACCGAGAGCGCGTCCACCGGCAGCTCCGACCAGTCCCTCGTCGTCGTCTTCTCCGGCGACGGCGCCGGCAAGGCGTCCATTTCACGGGGAGGTAAACAGGCAAGGCGATCGATGCTGAGATGAAGGCTGAAATTATGGCGTTGGTGAAGGTTGATTTAGGCCTCAATTTATATATAGGCCGGCAAGATCGATCGATTGATTGGTAAATTTGAATGCAATCCTGTTTCCATTCACACGCATTAATTTTTTTCAAGTAATTTTTTTACAAAACTACTAGTATTACTTTGGGAGAATAGGTTCTTAAAGTTTCGCTCCTGGGTCAGTTCATTTTTCAACTTCAAATTTCGTTTTCCGTTAGCACGATTTTCAAACGGTTAAATAATGTTTTTATTAAAAAAGTTTCTATGTAGAATTTGTTTTACAAAGCAATTAAATCCATTTTTAAGTTTATAATAGTTAATACTTAATTAATTATGTGTTAATGAGATTTCTCATTTCGCGTGCGCAAAATTTTTTATCCTTTTGAAGCATCGAACGGGTCCTAAAGTATAAGAAAATTATATATTTAAAATATTATATCATAAAACTATAAATTTAAGACTAATTATTATAACTATAGATTTAATGTTAAAGTTATCACAAAACTGTAAATTTTGGAACTTAAATCCCTAGTACTACCATTTTATTTGGGTTATAAACTTTGTAGTTTCGTGATTAGATTGACTATAGTTTTACGAAAAATTTACAATCTAATCAATAATCTTATGTATTTTTTATCTTAAATCTATATTTTTATGATAAATTAATTTTATAGTTTGTGATACAACAATTTAAATTTAAATATATAATTTTACGACAGTTTGATGAAAATATTAGTTTTTTAAAAAAAATTAAGATCAGTATCCCAGAACTCGAGAGGCCGAAGCACCAACCAGTCAACCACATCTTCTCGTTTTCTTCTCTTCGATCGATCGGTCACGGGCAGCATTCTTCCTGCATGCATGCATGACATGCATGCCGGCCGGGAAGCGAAAGGTTCTCATCTCTCACAGCTCAAGAGGACAAGATATTCCGACTAACCTTTCCAATTCTCCTGGCCTCTTCACTCATCCACTAATATAGGAGGTTGGACGATAAGATTGATTTGGTAGTACATTGAAAAAAAATGCATATTAACGCCTACTCCATTCGTTCTAAATTAAGTTTACTTTTGTATATATGAATATGAACATACATGTTAAAACTTTTGGTTATCTCATTTATATACAAAAGTTTAATTTAGGACGGAGGAAATATTATGCGGGATGCAAAATACAGTTTATATTCACACACATTTGAAATGAGCATCGAGAGGCCGAAGGTAGACTCTCTTAATGTACTGATGGACGGTCAATGGAAAAGGTTTTGTTATTGAATGACAACTGTGTTAGTTCAATAGCGTGGTTCACTTTTGGTGGAAGAGTAAAACAATATATATTAATATTGATTTTTTTTTTTTGGAAATCCCCCGTTAAGTATATACCCCTTGGGTCTCCCTAAGGCTTAATAAGTATAGAAGGGGATTTATATGGATACCCTTATAATATAGATATTTAGAAAGGTAATTATAGACAATTTAACCATGGGTTTCTTTGTAAGTCGCAACATGTGTCTCTTTTGGCGAATTGGCCTCTTTGGGCCCCGGTTCTTTAGCCTTGAGGCGAAAGCACTTGGCCTAGTGGTGAAGGCTTCTAGCTTCGCCTAGCAGGTTCGCCGAAGCCACTGTCTATGCGTGAATCGGCGCCTTCCCCTGGCCAGCGATCGTTGGCCTATTTCAACAGGCTCAGTCGAAGGCGCTTGTGACATGCCTCCAAAAATGTTTCATCTCGGCTTAAGAGCTTATTCAGTTTTGGAAGAATTTTAATCCATAGAAATAGAAAAGGTAAAAACAACACACCAATCTATATGGATTTTTTCACGAGATTTGAGTGGACGAAAAATTTTCTATCTATATCTTGTAGGATTCAAATTTTTTTTGGTTTACATTCCTACAAACCGAATGTCACTCATAGTAATTAATATTTGGCCTTTGTGTTAATTCAGCTTCGGCAGATGATGTATTGATGTTAGAAACTAATTTCTCGTGCCCATAAAAAAGAGCGATTTATTAGCACATGATTAATTAAGTACAAGATAGGTATCCCGCGCGTTGCTGTGGAAGAATTGCGCGATAATATAATAGACATGAGTTCTAAAATTTTCTTTCTTACCTGCTATACGATTTTTTTTCATGTATTTATATATTTTTATACGTTTATCAGTTATCCAAAGATTCTAAATGATTGGGTTGTATGGTGTGCCTTTTGAGGGAAAGAGATGCAAATTGCACCCTTCATGAATCATCCAAAGGCTAAAAACAATGGAGGTGATGTGAAGAGATGCAATTTACACTATTGATGAATCATCCAAAGGCTAAAAAAAATTAAGATATGGCTTCATGAGAGAAGAAAGAATTAGCATTAACTACACTTAGTGGGGATAAACTTTATAGATATATAGGAATATAGGGTTACTATTTTTTAAAATAAAAAATCTTAAATTAATATGATATTTTAAAATAAATCTACTATGAAATTTTTTTCTGTGGCGGTGAGCCTGTGATATAGCTCGGTCTTCAGCAAAGCTCGGCGCCATGGATCCAGCCATTGATCTACTACACAACCCCACATTTCCGGCTAGTAATTGGGCTACATAGCCCACGAAAGCCCAGCTAAATCCAGGCCCACCATGACTAGGCCGGCCACCTTAGGCAAAGTCAGCCCACCACCAAATCGACACGCAGATCCCGGATCCTCGCCGGCCACCGTCCCCCTCACTCCTTCACCGCCGCCGTCCGCCGCCGACGCCGACCACCGTGCGCCGCGATCTTCACCGCCGCCCGCCGCCGGCTTCCCCCCACCGCCTTCCTTCCTGCTACTTCATCCCCATCGCCCGGCGCCACCTCCACTCCCGCCGCATGCTTCACCGCCGCTCGTCTCCCCGCCAGCCCTTCACCTCCGCCGACACCGATATGCGCTTGTGTGTTGATGTCGGGCGCCAGATTCTGGGCGTTACCACTGACTGCGGTTAATTTTGTTGGCTACATTGGTAATCTATTCATGACACGGGGAATTTTGTTATTACTGGATTTGGGGCTTTGTGGATGTGGATGAACAGTTCAGGGAAAAAAGAAATGACGAAAAGCAAAATTTATTTTCTTGCTTTTTTTGTTGAGTGCCTGATGTAGTGAATTGTTGATGCATGTTGACACGCGGCAAATGGAGATGACTGGAGCTCTTGGAGTTGGGAGGACCCTTCAAACTGGAGCTGCCCATAATGGTTTACCAGTTTGGTATGGTTTCCATTGATTCCAATAATCTCATTCACGTTTCGTTGCGTTGGCAAGTCTATGAGATCGTCTGAAAGTTGAATTGATTCTGGGTGCTTCGATTAATATCGCAAACAACTATCGAACTGTCATATGTTAACGTCAGAGTGTTGATGCATTTCTGGTGATAGCCATTCAGGACTGAAAACATGAAATTTGTGAAGAAACTGCTCTAAGGGGTTTCATCATGCTACTCTTCAAGATAAGCTATGAAAGTATTTCTGTACTTTGATGCCTTATTTCCACATTTTGATGTCTCATTAAGACACGACACGTTTACTAAACCTACACGAGAATTGGTTCTCTTTACACATGTCTAGAAATTTGAAGACCCGGATAATTACATTCCCGGTCTCGTACGCTTACGCACGGGCTTGTGTGTGCACATAAATGGCTAGAACATGACTCCGCCACCCACCAAAATGGCTTCTAGCTATATTTTGTTTGACAACTTGATTTCTGGAAAATTAAACGTAACGGCATCTCCTTCTGCGCTGGAATCAAACAGCCAAGGCTACTGTTGGAAGTCACGCAACCAATTATAACTTGCCTCTCTTGTCGTGTGTAAATGGTACTACGAGCATGACCACACTAGAGATTATGTAAGCTAACCACGCTTAGGGGTTAAATATACTTTTTCAAAAATAGAACACAAAAGAATAAGTAAAAATATGATTTTCGTTGCTTCACATGAAAATTAAGAAGGTGAGGGCCTGGGCGTGCCTACGAATTCTCAATGGAAAACATTTGTGAAATAGGAGATTTCTAGAAGAACTATGAGATACATTCCAAAAAGGACCACATAGGAAACTTTTTATCAGGTTTGAATCCTTTATAGTCCCTACTTTATTTTTGCATTGTTCTAAATGAGGTTCAAATGACAAATTGATCAGAATACATGTAATAAAGAAAAAATCATGCAGGCAAAGTCAAAATAAAGGAGAGTAATGTTAACGCACCTGGCAATGTGACAACAATCTCCACTTACATCTGATTATGTATCTACAAATGTGAACTACCTAGACAGAAAAATAAATACTCAATTAGGTTTAACTCAACATTCACATAAGGGTAAATGGTTTTCCAAAATAGGTTCGGCAGTTTTGAAACATGTCCATAATTTTACGTATAACTTCCGTGATAAGTTGCTTGACTTGTTGGCATGAGGCACATGGAATGTTCCAGAACAGCACACAATTCACAAGAACACTACTGTCCACACTCATGCCTCTCATGAGCAACCAGGTGGCCCACGGGGCCCACAGTATGCCACTTACATATTCCTTGTGTGCACACAAAAAAACAAACAGCAGAGGAAAACTAACTACAGGGTAGAAGCCAAGACGGAAAGGAAGGATCATAATTAGTTTAATAAAAAAAGATAAGAAAAAAACAAGGTTCTCAGTGTGGTGTTTGTCAGGACAGTGCAAAACTCCACTAAAGATGTGCTCATGTGCTGTACCTGTGTTCTATATTTAGTTCTTCTTGAGAGATAGAGATCAAGCAGAGGAGGCACCGCTAGGTGGTGTGTTCAGCGGGCTTTAGGAGGTTTTGGCAATGGAGATGGCTCTCCGGCCTCAAAGCCTTCTATGCCCTCGGAGCAGGCTGAAGGTCGTCATCCGGCCAGCTAGCAGTGCCAGCGGTGGTGGCCTCGCGCAGGTATGATTCAGTTTCAAGAAGTTCATGATTCCGGCTGCTCTTGCTTTTCTTGATTTGCTTGATCCACCAAGTGTTCGTCCTTCTGAAGGGGCATGCAAGATTATTTACTCAGTTACATGATCTCAAATATTAATATTTTGGTTGTGTTTCCTGTGGTTTTGATTCATTTCATCTTGGGAACATACTCTGGTGATGAAGGGGAAATTCATGTTATGGGGAGTTCTTTCCTGGACTTTCTTACGGTTGTTGATAGATTTGATTGAAATATTTTGGGAAATATTTCTGTGGTCAATGATCTTAATTCTCAAATTTAGATTAGGTTAAAACAACGGGACTGAAAGTTCCTTTCTGGAGATCGAAAGGTAGTTAATTCTACTCCATTTGTTAAAATTTCCCCCCAAGTACTTGTATATTTAGGTCTGCATAATCATTGAAAGATTTCCTCATCTGGGCTAATTCTGTTCAGTTTTGAAGTGAAGCCTAAAAGACCTTGTCCTCTTGTTTTGATTTGTTGGGTTCTTGTTTTGTAAGGAAAAATACCGCTCATTATGCACCCCCTTTTTTATCTACAGTTGAACATTATGCATTTACATTAATGTGAGAGGGTATCATCCATTCTAAACCGACATGCTAAGAAATATGGTTTCGGAGTGCAATTCAGTATAATTTTTTAAATATTTTTCTGACAGGAATTCTTTCAATAATTTTATATTGAGGATCTGAGAGGCATAGATTTTTTATAGTAAAATAACCTACATATTTCAAAACAGCAATATTGATTCAAATAATTCAATACTCCCTCCGTCCCTTTATAATTGTCGTTTGGGAGTTGTGCCCCCCTCACAAGCACAGATTCCTAGCGACTAATAAAAGGGGACAGAGGGAGTAAGTTCTTTTTATTGAAACATCTCGAGCTACAATATTTACTTTCTTTTCTTTTTCCAGTATTTCTTAATGACCAGGAGATATACTGGAAGCAGAATTGTTCGATGCATGGTTTCAAGTTCAGGTTTGTGTAGGATAGCTTCGTAAAAGCTTTATTAATTTTCTTATTTGCTATGCTAAGGTCATGTTTGTTAAAATTATATCATGCAGACTGTCCTAATAGGAAAGCAAAGAGGACGATTTCCCTTCATACGGAAGTCGCTTCTTCTAGGGGATATGCTCCGAGAATTGCTGCTGAATCAAGTATTCAGGAGCGAGAACATATTAATAGTGATGAAGAAACATTTGATACGTACAACAGATTACTACGTAATGAGTCAACAGAGTGGAAAAAGTTAGATACTACTGAAGTGGATTTGTCACAAGATGTTTCAAGCAGTTCAATGAGGAAAGTGGATGCGACGGATGAAGCTAAGCTAGATATACTTGAGGATGATTTGCCCAGAAATTTGTTGAACGGTGTAACAATGGGGGAAGTAGATATGTTGGATGAAGCTGGGGCAGAAGATGATGTATTTGAGGTGGACTTGTCAGCCTTGCATAATTCCACAGTGGGGAAAATGGATGCGGTAAATGAAGTTGGGACTGAAAATGACTTATTTGAGGTGGATCTGTCAGCATTGCATAGTGCTGCAGTGGGGAAGGTGGATGTAGTAGATGGAGCTAAAGCTAAAGAAGATTTGTTTGAGATGGATTCATTAGCATTGCACAGTGTTACAATGGGGAAGGTGGATGCAATAAATGCAGCTGGAGCTGAAGGAGACAAATTTGAGGTGGATCTGTCTGCGCTCGCGTCGAACAATTCAATGATAGAGGCAGTTAATGTGATGGATGAAGCTAAGGCTATAGAAGACACACTCGAGGTGGATTTGTCAGGAAATGCTACAAGCAGTTCAACATATGGGGAAGTTAAATTTGAGGTGGATTCATTAGGAAATACTTCAAGCACTGTAATGTATGGGCCAGCGGATGGAGCGTATGAACCTCGGTCCGATGAAGTCACTTTTAAGGTGGATTCATCAGAAAATGCGTCAAACAATGTAATGTATGGGAGAGCAGATGTGGTGGATGAATCTTGGGCTGATGAAGGCATATTTGAGGTGGATTTTTTTACAAATGCTTCAAGCGGCGCAGAATATGGAAAAGTGGATGTGGTGGATGAAGCTAAAACTGATGATTTCACATTTGAGATTGATTCATTAGAAAAAGATTCAAACAATAAAATGCATGGGAAAGCTCATATGGTGGATGAAGCTTGGGACGATGAAGCCATATTTGAGGTTGATTTGTTTGGAAATGCTTCAAGCATTCCGATATATGGGGAGGTGAATGTGTTGGATGAAGCTCGGGCTGATGATGGAAAATTTGAGGTTGACTTATTAGGGAATACTTCTAGCAATTCAACACATGAGGAAGTGGATGTGGTAGATGAAGCTCAAACAGGTGAAGCCACATTTGAGGTGGATTTGCTTGGAAATGCTTTAAGCAGTGCAATATATAAAGAAGTGCCTGTCATGGGTGGAGCTCAGGATGATGAAGTTGATGTAGATTTCTCAATAAATGCTTCAATCACCGAAACAGAAAAGGAAGCAGATGCAGTTGATGAAGCTAGAGTTGAAGATGAGACATTTGATATGGATTTAGTAGGTAAACAGATATCAATCGATTCTATGAATGATGATGTAGTTGAAGAAGGGACTAAACATCACAGATATCCAATGTTGTCTTCAGCATTCATAGAAGTCAAGACCATTCATGAAACACCTGTAAGTTTAAAGCCTGAACTTATGTCAGTTGTCATGGATCAGGAACAAGACAAACCAATTTCCAGCGTTTATCAACAAGAAGGATCAATTTTTAATTTGCATGCAGAAAACCAATCAACGGTAGATTTTCATGAACGGGAGCAAATGGCTATTACTTTTGATAAACAAAAGGAATCAGTTGCTAAACTCTCTAAAGAAGACCAACAGACTGCTGGTTTACCTGAGCAAAACATGTCCTTTGATGGTGTCCATAGGAAAAGCCAGTCAATTATTGGGCTCCCATTTCAACACCAATCAATTGTTAGTTCCCCTGAAAAATACCGATCAATTGTGGGTTTTCATGGACAAAATCAATCAATCATCAGCTCTCATAAACAAGACAAATCAATTGTTGGTGTTCCTAAAAAAATTCAATCCATTGTTGGTTCCACTAAGCATGATGATTCAATTGTTGGTTTCCGCAAACAAGACAGATCAATTGTTAGTGTGCCTGAGCAAAAACAATCAATAGTTGGTTTTCATAAACAAGATCTATCAATTGTTGCTGTCAGCGAACAAAATCTATCAATTGTTGCTATACCTAGAGAGAGTCAATCAAAGCAAATTTCTATTGTTCGGAGACATGATCCACTACATTTGAAGGAAGTGGAAACAAAGGATAGAGATGGCATATCTAAAAAATCTGGTGGTGACGATGATTTGCCACATATGCTCTTCGAAGAAGAGCTTTCACAGGTTGAAGATGTAGCAAGGGCAATCGCCTATAAAAAGCAGCATGAAGTTGATGTAATCTCTTTGACTCCAGATATCCAGGAGTCACCACAGGACAATATCGACCCACAAGAACTCCGAAGGATGCTCCAAGAACTTGCTGACCAGAATTGTTCAATGGGTAACAAGCTTTTCGTTTTTCCAGAGGCAGTGAAGGCTAATTCGACAATTGATGTATATTTGAATCGTAACCTATCGGCTTTGGCGAATGAGCCTGATGTCCACATCAAAGGAGCATTCAATAGTTGGAGATGGAGGCCTTTCACCGAAAGACTGCACAAGAGTGAATTGAGTGGGGATTGGTGGTCTTGCAAACTGCACATACCCAAGGAAGCTTATAGATTAGACTTTGTGTTCTTCAATGGTCGTTTAGTCTATGATAACAATGATAGTAATGATTTTGTGCTGCAAGTAGAAAGTACAATGGATGAAGATTCCTTTGAGGAGTTCTTGGTTGAAGAAAAGAAAAGAGAACTTGAGAGAGTTGCCACTGAAGAAGCTGAAAGGAGGAGGCATGCTGAAGAGCAGCAGCGAATGGGAGAACAAAGGGCTGCAGAACAAGCTGCCAGGGAACAGGCTAAGAAGGAGATAGAGTTGAAGAAGAACAAATTGCAAAATCTGTTGAGTTCAGCCAGAACACATGTTGATAATTTGTGGCACATAGAGCCTAGCACATATAGACAAGGGGACACTGTCAGATTGTACTATAACAGAAACTCAAGGCCGCTTATGCATAGTACTGAGATCTGGATGCATGGTGGTTGCAATAGTTGGACTGATGGACTCTCTATTGTTGAAAGACTTGTCGAATGTGATGACGAAAATGGTGATTGGTGGTATGCTAATGGTATGATATTACACATTTTTCTCTTACTTGGGTAGGAGTATATTAGAGCATCATAAGATACATTACCACATTAGCGTAGGGCTTCTAGAAAAAAAAATCCTTGTTCTAGTTATCTTGCACTCTTATTTTTTTGGTTTACTTGGGTAAGAATATATGTAATGCATTGCTTTTCGTTTTAAACAGTTCATATACCTGAAAAGGCCTTTGTATTGGACTGGGTTTTTGCTGACGGGCCACCTGGAAATGCAAGGAATTATGACAACAATGGTCGACAAGATTTTCATGCTATTCTTCCAAATGCCATGACTAACGAAGAATATTGGGTTGAAGAGGAAAACTGTATCTATACAAGGCTTCTCCACGAGATCAGAGAACGGGAGGAAGCTATTAAAATAAAGGTCAGTCAAAATAGAATCTTTAAATATGGACTTGGTTATTTGATCCAGAGTTTTACAACATGGTTCTGATGTATTTTGTTGGCTGACGAATTCTCTTGCAATTGTTCTATTTGTAATTAACTTGCGTAGAGCTAATGAACTTCACATGTGAAATCAGGTTTTTGACCAACCGATTACCTTCTTTTTTTTTGTGGGGATGTTTTTGACCAAATAAGTTACTATTTCACATCCTAAGACATGTTATAAAATTCATCCAAACTCAGTATTCTTTCAAATATACAATAATTAATTTGACCAGTTAGATCATTCTTCACTTTGAACTTGTGCCTTAAGCTGACTGTTTTGACCAAACGAATTGATGGCCCACCCAGTTAGCAGTTAGCACTATTTATTGGAACTTCTGTTATACCATATTATATTATTCAAGGAAAAATGTAGTTGTTCACTGTCATGTATATATCTTGATGTTTTGAACATCAGATATATGTTGTGAAGTCCTTCGGCTTACTATTCCCACTTTTTTGCTTGTACAGGTTGAGAAAAGAGCAAAAATGAAATCTGAGATGAAGGAAAAGACTATGAGAATGTTTCTACTTTCTCAGAAACACATTGTTTATACTGAACCACTTGAAATACGTGCTGGAACAACTGTGGATGTTCTATATAATCCTTCTAATACGGTGCTGAATGGAAAGCCAGAGGTTTGGTTTAGGTGGTCCTTTAACCGATGGATGCATCCAAGTGGTGTTTTACCACCCAAGAAGATGGTGAAAACAGAAGATGGTTGTCACTTAAAAGCGACAGGTTTGAGCTTGACTTGTTACATTGTTCCTTTTAATGCTGATAGATTTATATGATACATGTACTGATGTGCACTTTTATCCATTAATATATATTATTAAGTGCTACTGGACCATTAATTGATCAAGCACTGTTGAAGTATATGTCTAGCAATGTTCCAACTTTGATCCATAAATGGTATCTAGTACCAATTTTGAAACCTGAATCACAAGGTGACATAATTATACTATTCTGAAGAGCTAGCTAGTTTAGTGCCTAAATGAGCTACGACAATTCTGTAACTGGAGTTTTCTAAATGTTATAACTGCAAAAAATCTAGCTGGTTTACTGTAGACATAATTCATTATAATATCTAGTATATCGCAGTCTAACCCAGAAGAGCTCAAAATTTCAAACTACTTTGGATTATTACTCAACTCTTGGTAAAAGGTGGCAATTTGGTGATTAAACTCAATAATGTCCTGTCAAAATTTACCTTTTATGTTTAACTTATTTTGGAACTTTGGTTGGTATATCGTTCAGTTTACTCAATATTACAGTGTAATACATTTTTTCCCTTCCATATTCATTAGTCCCTGTTATGTTCCTTCTCCAGTTAGTGTTCCATCGGATGCTTATATGATGGACTTTGTTTTCTCTGAGTCGGAAGAAGGTGGAATCTATGACAACAGGAATGGGACAGACTATCATATTCCTGTTTCTGGTTCCAATGCAAAGGAGCCTCCCATTCATATTGTCCATATAGCGGTTGAGATGGCACCCATTGCAAAGGTAAGCCATATTACCATGTAAAATTTTCTGTGGCTAGCAACAGTGCTAGACATCAACACTTGCCAAGTTATCTGTTATTTCTATGTGCATAAAGTAATGCCATACTCTGTAATCTCCAATTACAGGTTGGAGGCCTTGCTGACGTTGTCACAAGTCTTTCACGTGCAATTCAAGAGTTAGGCCATCATGTTGAGGTTATTCTCCCGAAATATAATTTTATGAATCAAAGCAATGTAAGTTCAAGTAGCACAACAGCCTATGTTTCTCCTATTATATAATATATTATTTATTTATTTTCGGTTTCTGTGGTGGTTTTGTCGCTAAGAAACTCAAATCGAAGAGCTCTCTATTTTAAGAGAGTCTATTACGATACTGTATATGGATGTGCTCCGTGTTGTCCTTCCTTTCTCAGTTAGTTAGGATTTGTGTTAGATATGTGGATTGCTGTCAAATATTCGAAATGTACCTTAATATATCATATACAATTCTAGTTCTAAATTTTGTATTATTTGAAAAAAAATAACTTTTTCATGTCTTGTCCTTGATGCACAAGAACTATGGAGGCAAAGAGGACTTGTCAAGTGTAGCAGAGAACTCAAGAATATAGAAAAGTGGATTTTATATCTTGTATGAACCATGTTTCATCCGTTTCAATGCAGGTGAAGAATTTGCATGTACGTCAAAGCTTTTCTTTGGGTGGTACAGAAATTAAAGTGTGGTTTGGACTAGTTGAAGACCTGTCTGTTTACTTCTTGGAACCTCAAAATGGGTATGTTGCATCTCATTCTTCACACAAACATAGCTATTAGTCTATTACTCTTGTTTCACGAAAACCATCATCCCTAATCCTTATACTAGCTAATGCACAGTTCACTAAGCCTAAGATGCAGGGTATGATATCCTTCTAAAAACCAATTGTTGGTTCCTGTCGAGTACAAGAGCTAACTTAGTACTCCCTCTGTTTTTTAATAGATGACGCCGTTGACTTTTTCTCACATGTTTGACCATTCGTCTTATTCAAAAATTTTATGCAAATGTATACGATATAAATCACACTTAAAGAACTATGAGTGATAAAACAACTCATAACAAAATAAATTATAATTCCGTAAATATTTTGAATAAGACGAATGGTCAAACATGTGAGAAAGTCAACGGCGTCATCTATTAAAAAACGGAGGTAGTACCAGTTATTCAAACCTTGGCCAGTTTAGGCCCTTCTTTTGATCCCTCCTTCCACTGCAGTATGCATATTATTATTTTTTTTCAAGTATGTGATACAAATCTGAAATCTAAATATAAGAATTAAAGGTACAATCACCAAATGCAACCCACCAGAAGTATAATGATTTCGATTTTTTTTTTCATTTTTAGTCTTCAATATCATTCTCTTTCTTTGTTTCCATGTTTTGCCTCAGCTGGTAGTCTGAGCAGAATAGTTCTGTTCTAAGCTTAGATTGCAAAATTGTTTTTGAGAATCCATGTAATGTGTTTTGCCGCTCCTTAGCATGGATGGTGGTTTAAATCTTTTCCCTTAATACGAAGATATGCAAATCTTTTTCTTAGTTTGGGTCGCAAAATTGTTTGTGATTTTTTTGAGAATGTTATGCACTGATCATGATTCTACTTCAGTTATTAGAATTGGTATCTTTAGTCCTCTAACCTTGACCAAACAATTGTGACCTATTCAGCTCTTTGACTAGGCATAAGGACCTAGCCAGGGTTAAAGAGTTTGCTGGTTCGAGCTCAAATCAGGATATCTGAGAACAACCTGGCCTTGCCCTTTCTCAGCCTATATTGGCCTTTACTGGGAACACAAATTGCTTGGGTAGCATTAGTATTTAGCTAGTTTATATTTATTTCGATTTTTGCTCTACCATATCCATGAACTGCAAGTTCTCTACACAACTTCATGGCGCTGAATTGACAGAAGAACATTTGTAAGATGCACCAGGGCTTAGGTGATTACACCACACTGTACTATAATTCATACACATGCTAGTATAATTATTTACTCCTGACTGGTTCAGTTCCTGTATGATGATTTCAGTTATCGCAGGAACTGTTTTGGAGATTGTTTCCTTGTAGGTGGCTTCACAGAATAATCAATTTGGCATGTCTTGTGGCAGGATGTTTGGGGGTGGATGGGTATATGGAGGGAACGATGCTGGCAGATTTGGCTTGTTCTGTCAGTCTGCTCTAGAGTTCCTCCTTCAGAGTGGATCTTCTCCAGTAAGTATTTCTCTAATTGAAAACTTCCAAGTCCAAAATCAGTGATAAAAGAGAATTTTTTACTTTTGGTAATAAATATATTGTTTTTTCCTCTTGATATTTTCTTCACGTTCTTGTTTTCCATGCTTGCATTTCATTATGTCAAAACATGTTTAAGTCACTGACTTATTTGCTGCATTAGCCTTTTCTTTCCCAGTCACTTTTTCACCTTACATTCACTTTACTCCTCTTTTCAAAAAGAGTGACATTTTATCGTCCTGACAGCATATAATACACTGCCATGATTGGTCAAGTGCACCAGTTGCCTGGCTATACAAGGAACACTATGCAGAATCCAGGTTGGCAACTGCCCGGATTATATTTACCATCCATAATCTTGAGTTTGGAGCACATTTTATTGGAAAAGCAATGACATACTGCGACAAAGCCACAACTGTGAGTGCCTGATTGTCTTGAAGAGTTTTATCATCTAGTTTGGTGCATTTTCATGTTATATGAAAAATAAAATTATTTTCATATGTTCAAACATCTTCATGTCTGTCTTGCCATACCTTGCAGGTTTCTCACACGTATTCAAAGGAAGTCGCAGGTCATGGTGCCATAGCTCCTCATCGTGGAAAATTCTATGGAATTCTCAATGGAATTGATCCAGATATCTGGGATCCATATACTGATAACTTCATCCCGGTATAGTCATGATAGTCGAATACATTTTTATACAACTACCAGTCCATATGTATTTGATCTTGGTAAACTAAAACAAAGTTTGCTTGGGTTGCCAATTATGCGCACTCATAAGATTATCACTTTAACTAATACTTTTGTGATAGTTGTCCTAATATGTAATTATTGAAAGTGCAAATGCACACTGATGCCACAGTATTGCCCCAAACATTTTTCATGTTTTGCTTATTTCATCCTATGTCAGATGCATTATACTTCTGAAAATGTGGTTGAAGGCAAGAATGCTGCAAAGAGAGCATTGCAGCAGAGGTTTGGACTGCAGCAGACTGATGTCCCCATTGTTGGAATCATCACTCGTCTGACAGCCCAGAAGGGTATCCACCTCATTAAACATGCACTTCATCGGACACTTGAACGCAATGGACAGGTTAATCATTTGATGACAATCTTCTAGTGTCTCCCTAGAACTTGCTTTTCCCTTTCGCAATTATTTTTGCCGACCTATCTGAAACAAGTGATGTGTTTGCTTTTTAGGTGGTTTTGCTTGGTTCAGCTCCAGATCCTCGGATACAGAGTGATTTCTGCAGATTGGCTGATAGTCTTCATGGTGAAAACCATGGCAGGGTTAGACTATGTTTAACTTATGACGAGCCTCTCTCACACCTGGTCAGTTCCAATATCCTACACCATCAAATTGGTCTAAAAAAATTGTTGCTGGCTAATAATTTCAGTGATTCTGCTACAGATATATGCTGGCTCTGACTTCATCCTTGTTCCATCCATCTTTGAACCTTGCGGTTTGACTCAACTTGTTGCCATGCGCTATGGATCCATCCCTATTGTTCGGAAAACCGGAGGTGAGTGTACATAATAACATGTACATATATGAGCTTTCTTACTGACCTCAAGGACCATAAAAATGCTTTACATACATAGATAGCTTACTGGTACTCCTATGATTCATTCTCTCCTTTCTTTGCACATCATGAGCTGAACGTGAATCCTATTTTCTTCACGCGCAGGACTTTACGACACTGTTTTCGACGTAGACCATGACAAAGACCGGGCTCGAGTTCTAGGCCTTGAACCAAATGGGTTCAGCTTTGATGGAGCTGACTGTAATGGTGTGGATTACGCCCTGAACAGGCAAGTACCTCCACACCTCACAATTGTGTGAATGCACAATTGAGCTGAACATAATCGTACAGAACCCCGAGCCAAATTCATCATGTGACATCCGTGTGGTTTGTGTGCTTGGTGGTCTATTGTTTATGTGTCTTCCATGTAATCGCAAACAAAAAAAGAAGAAGAATTATCTTCCCTAATTCAATCATATATTATCTTATTCATGCAATGTTTGCTACCCTTTTGCAGAGCAATCTCTTCTTGGTTTGAAGCCCGCGGTTGGTTCCACTCCCTCTGCAAAAGGGTCATGGAGCAAGACTGGTCCTGGAACCGGCCTGCCCTGGACTACATTGAACTGTACCATTCAGCTCACAAATTTTGAGGCCCCCATCCAACGGTGGCAAGAGAAAGCAAGCATTGGCAGATACTACAAATTAAATGAAACATGGCTCAAAGTTAAAATATTTTATCTGAGCTGCAGATACAAATTAACTCAAACATGGTTCAAAGTTAAGATCTTTTATCTGAGCTACACATATATATGCAGAATAAAGACTCTTTACAGCATGCATAAACAATTGTGGGAGTATGTATCAGCTATGTTTCCTATTCTCAGTTTTAATTATGAATACTTGATTTAGTACCAGAACCGTGTACATATGTTTGCAAAATTGCAAGTAAAATGAAGGTGTAGAACTATAATGTTGTTCTATGGTTTCTTTTGCGCTACATCTGGACTATGGCTATGGCGTGGCTGTGTATGCCTTGCAAGAGAAATATTCCCAATGACAATATATGGCTGCTCAATTGGCTTCCAGGTCATCCTGGCCAGAATTTGCATATATTTTGAGACAATTTGGCAATACGGTACATCCATGTGTGACCAATGCATTTTAAAGAGAGAAATTTCGCAAGTTTTTTTTTCCGGAATGAGCGAAGGAGGTCATTTAATGTAATTAAGATAGGAAGAAATTTGCGAGAGAGAGTACGGTGACCGAACGAATTCTGGCTTGCAAGTGCGTAGTTGACCTAAATGGTGCGGCTTTGCTTGCGTGAGATGCTGCTGAATCACTTGGCTGATTTAGGTCACAAGCCGTGTTCCAGAATTCTTTCAAACGCATGAAGTATTTGTTCGGTTTCCGTAAAATTCCTCAAAGAAATCCTCGGTTCCAAAAGAGGCTTCTTGATATTCTACTTCAAACTGCAAAACCATCACGATTCCTAAAGCCAGTGTCTCCTTGTAATTCACGTTAAACAACATCGACTCTCTCTCTCTCTTCTCAAAACTCAAAAAACTAATACTAGCACTAATCAAAATTAAATTCCTGCTACTAATTAACCACAATCAAGTCGAATAGATTTGGGAGTCGAGAAGTACTCTGCATCTAATACTCGTTCCATTCCAAAATAAGTATAGATTTACACTGTTTATATACAACATTTAACCGTTTGTCTTATTTGAAAGTTTATTATGATTAGTAACTTTGTTATTATTAGATAATAAAACATAAATAACTCTTTTTGTGTGACTAATTTTTTAATATCTTCATAAATTTTTTAAATAAGATGAACGGTCCAACGTTGGACACGAATATCTACGGCTACACTTATTTTAGGATGGAGGTAATATATTATAACTAGTTATTAATTAATTAATCAAATCAAATAGAATTGGAATTGGAATTTGGAAGGTGAGAAGTTAGCTTGCTTGGGGCAACCAGGTAGAGTAGACTCAGACCTGGTTTTTGCTTTTAAATTAAGTTTCCGAGTACAATACGTTGCGTGCGCGTAGCAATTTAACCAAGCCCCCCAACCCCTTTCCCCTCTCCCTATCCCTATCTCTTCTCGTCTTCCTCCGCTTCACGCCGCAAACAACCAACCAACCACTTCCTCCTCCTCCTCCTCCGCCGCCGCGATCCCCAATCCGATCTCGTAAGTCTTCTCCGCCCCTAGCTGTCGATCGATCGATAGATTATTCGATTATACGATCGCCGAATTTGGTGGTGTTCTTTTTTTTTTTTTTGGGTCTACTCGTCGATCTGAGCCGTGAGGGTTTGTTGCGAGATTGGCGTGCTGTGTTGTGGGGTGGTGTTGATTTTTTGTGTTTGTTTGCAGGAAAGGTAGTAGTGAAGAAAGCAAGGCAGGGCGCGCGTGATGGCGAGGAGCTCGTTCAAGCTGGAGCACCCACTCGGTTCGTCTCACCTCTTCTCCTTTCCTTTTCTTTTCTTTTTGTCGATATCGATGTATCTGTGTGCTGTTTGATGGATTGTTGTAGCTGTTTTGCGTGAATACTTATGGACTTGGGAGGAGGGCCGATATGGTGTGGGGATTGTTTAGTTTTGTAGCTAGATGATGGTCAGTTTGCTTGTTAGGTTTTGGTGTCACTTTTTGTTTGTAGAATCTCAATCTATCCCCTTCTATATGGTTGATTTCTACATATACGTATGTAGAGGAGATGTGAATGATCTGTGGTTGATTGATGGCTAATTTATTGAATGATGCCGCCTTTTATCAATTCTTAGCGCATATCTTACCATGATCTGTTTATTTTACCCTGCCCATTGGCAAAATTTATTGAATGATACCGCCTTTTATCAATTCTTAGCGCATAACATCTTATCAACAGAATTACTTGGTTATGTGTGGTATAATTGAAGATCTCACTCTGTTTATGCCATGTGTTGTGTCGCAGAAAGGAGGCAGGCTGAGGCCAACCGCATCAGGGAGAAGTATCCCGATAGAATTCCTGTAAGTTGGATGGATTCTTGTTGCTTGTGGTGTTCGCTTACTTTGTCATGATTATTTTGTTCTTATGTGAAGCAACTTCCTGTGATTAAATATAGGTCATTGTTGAGAAGGCTGAGAGGAGTGACATTCCTGACATTGACAAAAAGAAGTCAGTTCTCAACCATTTTACTTTTAAGAATAAATCTAGTGCCACTTTATCTCTATTTGTTTTGGCAAGTTATGTTGACACTTCATTTTTTATGCTGCTGAAAATAGTTTTAGCAAATTATACCAGGTGCCAAAATTTTGTATTTACCAATAGGTTGATTGCTTTGGTTTTCAATTATTCCATTGCCAATCATGCCCTCCAGTCCTATTGCTTCAAGTTTTCAAAGACTAAAAAAAGTCTTAAATCAAGATTATTTTTTCTTTTGGTGTGTGTGCAAGTTCTCAATGAAAGCTAATTATGTACTCCACTTGGGCATATTCTTTTCTTGTACCAGTACCCAAATTCCAATACTGATGAGAAATTATTTTAGTCCTGTCTATCATACTTGATAACTCTTGCATCCTGTAATGGCAGCAAAACCACTGTTGACCAACCACCATATGTTCTTTTTTATCTATATGCAGGTACCTTGTTCCCGCTGACCTCACGGTTGGACAGTTTGTGTATGTTGTTCGGAAGCGGATCAAGCTCAGTGCTGAGAAGGCAATCTTCATCTTCGTCAAGAACACGCTTCCACCAACAGGTATGGCAATATGAGCTCTGGGAGCACTCAGTTCAACATCAACATAAAAAAAAATCATAATTGCGTGATCCCTAAAATGCCTTGTTGCATTGCTCCTACAGCTGCCCTGATGTCCGCTATCTATGAGGAGAACAAGGATGAGGACGGCTTCCTCTACATGACCTACAGCGGGGAGAACACCTTCGGCCTGTTTGTCTGAGTGGCAGCAATCATCAATTCGACAATGCCTCGTGTAAATAGGCATCTAAAAAAAACCTCTGTATATAATCTGGTCTAGCAGCATGTTCCAAATCCCTTAGCATCTTATTGTCAAAAACCTACCCTGTAATCATCAAAGCACACGGTGCTCTTAGTACATTAACAACTGTCTGGTCTGTTCTTTCTGTTCAACAAGTTGCATAATTGCATTGCTTCAGTGTTCTCTCTGAAGCTGCTATTCTAACAAACTGAAATCCATACTTGTGTGTTCTGTGCCATACTCTGTCCCTAAAAAATCAACTCTTAGCTGCGAACCTGAATGTAGGCAAAAATTACTTCCAGCTTACATTCAGGTTCATAACCAGACGTTGATATTTTGTGACGGAGGGAGTATATATGCATGTGTTTTTGTTGAGGTGCCTGATTCCGGTGACGATTTCAACGGAGAACCTGGAGTTCTGGACAGGAGGTCAGGAAACTTGTCCAGGGCCCTGTGATGCAGTGGCCTTCAGCCTTAAGCTCCACATGTTGGATCGGATCTACTACTACTACTCCGTAAATGGGAATTTGGCATCATCAAATCAGTGCATTGCATTGCAACATTCTCCCAGGCATTGTGATGTCTGATATGACACCAGATGATACGGTTTGAGCTGGCATAGGATTACTACCGACCCCATTGTTTCACTTATTCATATGCTTATTTAAAACGCTTATTAATAATTTAAAAAATTATTTGTGAGTAAAATTTTTATATACATGTCCTTAGCGACTCAAAAGTAAATGTTGTAAAATAAACTACGATGATATTTTTTTTTCAAAATTAAGTTCTAAAATTAAATTTTAGCTTATAATCATAAGCATAAGCCAAACAATAAGATCCTACTATATTTGAGTAGTCATAGGATGACTTCTACTCCCTCCGTCCCCTAATATAAGGGATTTTGACATTTTGCTTTCCTTGTTTGACCACTCGTTTTATATTTTTTGTAAATATAAAAAATAAAAAGTTGTGCTTAAAGTACTCTGGATAATAAAGTAAGTCACAAATAAAATAAATAATAATTTCAAAATTTTCTGAATAAGACGAATGGTCAAACAGTGCAAGTAAAATGTCAAAATCCCTTATATTAAGGGACGGAGGGAGTATGTATTACCTCCAAAATATAGTAACTTTAAGACGAGATTAGATACCACGAAAATATATTCTTAACTCTATGTATTAGGTTGTTATATTTTTTTAACAGAGAGTAGTATCAATTCAAAGTGGATTAATTACTCTTTCCGTCTTAAAGTATAATAACTTCTAAGATTCAAAATTTATCCCCAAACAAACAACTTTTCACCTACATTTCATTCTCAATCGACTACAATCTTCCACTCCATATATTTTATTTTCTCTACCAATCACATTCTTTTTCATTTAACTTCACACTCTCTCTTAAAACTTTTATATTTTGATACGGAGGTAGTACAAAATTTCTGATCGGTTGATGTGCAGTGGCAAAAGAGCTCATGAGACATTCCACTGCACAGACAATCTGGGCCTTCTTACATGGACTGGCACAATTTAACATATTCCAAGCTGTGCCTGGTGGATGTAGGGATGCAAGTAGGTCAACCCGTAAATCCACTTATATGCAAAATAAGTAGATATTTACGGGTTTACCTTACTAATTTGGTTTATAAATGGGTTTATGGGTCGACCCATTTGCATCTCTAGGTGCGATAAGTCAAGCCACGACATGAAAATGGGTTACCACTTATTTGACGTATAAGTAGATTGGCGGGTCCGTTTAATTGCATCCCTGCACCGGCCATCCATCCTCCATTTCGACGCCGCCGCGGACCGGAGCTCCCCAGCTATGGCGTTCATCTGTGGATCAGTAATTAATCACCTTCTGACTAAACAAGAAAAAGCATCTCATATACAGAGGTAATCAAACTGAAAGCGACGATCGAAACTGCAGGTACTTTTTTTTAACAAATCTTCTTATTTTCAGGATCCATATATACGCGAAGTATACTGAATTTTATTTTATTTTAGATAGCAGTGCGATCAAGATGAGCTACAGTAGCATGCAGTTACGGGTGTAAAATGAGCAAAGCATTTATGAACTTATGATTAAAGCATATTCTTATATTATCTGAAGAATCAATATCAGCCCAAATTATAATTGATTAATCAGATAGGCTAACTTAACTTACCATGACAGTGTACTGAGAGTTATTACTGCAGCTCCAGAACAACACTGCAGGGTACACAGTTCACTGCTGATCTGAAATTCTGAATAGGGAGAGCAAACATCCCATGCTGTACCTGCAGACTGTAAATGCAGTGCATTGATTCACATAAGCATCCACACTGCATTCGCATTAACACTGCTGCTCACATTATCACTCTCTCTCTCTCACTCACTCGAGGCATCTCATATTATTATCATCACCATCTCTTTCTTCAATGCTCTCTCTCTCTCTCTCTCTAAATTTCTCTCTCTGAACTCTGATCAAGAACAGCAGTCTCCTTTTTCCTTGAATGTCGCCAATAAATATCCCAACCCCCTCTTTGTTCGGTTGTTGGCTCATTCACTCCATCACCCTTTGCATTTCCATTGCATTCCACCATGCTCTTTTCTTCCCTCCCTCTCCTCTCTCTCTAATTCTAAGGAGCTATATTAAAGAAGGCTAGCTATGCTTCACTCAAACCAGTTGCTCATCCATCTTCTCTTTTCCTTCTCCTTCTACTTCTTCCATCTCCTCCTGCATTCTGCAAAAGAGTGGCTCGATCTTCATGATATATAGCTCTTTTGTTTGTTCTTGGTGTCCATGTTCGAGGGAGGGTGCCAGTCGTTGCAACATTGCAGTTATGTATTTTGTGTTTTTTTAATTTTATTTTGGTGATATTAAGGTTGGTCCATTAGACGGCCTTGCGACGACGGGATATTGGGGCGGTTCAATCAGAAAGCTTGTGCTCCGGAAGCGAGGAGCTCTACTCTTTTGATTGAGCCGTGCCAATATCACGTCGCATCCATCACTTTGGATGTTTCTTTCATGCAGGTGGTCTTGATTCCCTTGTTTTTCGCCAGCATTGTAGGTTTATTTGTTACTGTATTTCTGTGTTTAGCTACGATTAGTGATAATCTGGATTTGTATATATATATATATATATATATATATATATATATATATATATATATATATACAGTGAGGCTGATCTGTTTCACTTGTAGTAATTTGTATTTATTTTACATGTCTGTATCTGTTTAGCAAGCATGGAATTTTATATGTTATGAATTTGCTCTTTGGAGTAACAATGCTACTTGTTATTATTGATACCATTACTTGAAGTTGCACTGGTACGTACGAATGTTTTCTTTATATCTGAATAAGACTGACATGCACACAGTGAGATCCTTCAAGTCTTCAAGTTTATCAGCTGTTTTCAATTTTTACAATGTGGATGTGTTCAAAGGTATATATTTCATTACATTCTAGTAAGATCTAAGTTGGAGACAATAGATGGTTCAGTATCTAAGTCCTTAGAATGCAGAAATCTGTACTTAGTACTAATTAATTGTTTTCCGACGGTGTCAAGTATCATTAATAGAATAACTGGGTGACGTTCAGCAATATATCTAGGTTCACCTGGAACACAGGTAATATGGTTTCACTATCTGCAACAGAATTATGAAACAAGAGCTAATTAATTAAGTTGCTTCATTAATTCCTTACTCCATCCATTCAGTTCTTGGAAGATGCAATGGATCTGCCATATTCAAATAGAGCATGCATGGAGAAGGTAATGCCAGCAGCAGGAATCTAAGTCAAGATCTGAAATTTTTTCCAGGATACAGAAGATGACTCCCATGGGTGCAGCACTATGCGGCGACGTCGAAAAAAAAAGAAACTGAAAAATTGTAGTAGAGACAAAGGAGTCAGTCACAATGCCGTGGCTGAAAACACAGTTAAAGCCTGATCATGAAATGTTCATGATAGGGCCAACCGATGGACATTTCAAAGCTTTGAGTGATTAACTATATGATCCTCTCTTGAGAAAGAATATATATGCAAAAGGATAATTGGGATAGGTTCTATTTAGTCTATTGTACCTTCTTTTCAATGCCTTCTTATTTTGATGCAAAAGCTAATATTGCTTCATGACTACATTCAGTTTCTTACTGTCACCTCTTTCAGTAAATTTGCTGCTACTGTTTGCACATACTGTGTACATGTTATCTTTTTTCCTTGGACAATTTAAAAGGGCTCTCAGATATCTTGTATTCCTAATATTTGATTTGTGAAATGAACTACAATTAATTGCCAAATCTTGTGCAATGCAATCATCCTTGGTTCATGAAGTGCTAGCTAAATAGGTGCAAAATAATGCAGTAAAATTCAAGAAGTGTGGGACTGAATAATACTACTATTTCCTTTTGGGGGACCAAAAGAGGATGTGATGGTCAAGAGTATCTAGCAGATAAGTACAGGGACACTGGTCCTTTGGTGACCATGGAATGATGCAGAATCTTGCAGAAAACTGAAGCCAACAAGAACAACATTACAACGACACCATCAAATCAATTCACATTTACAGCAACAAATTTTGTAGTTTGCATCGAGCCTCTGAGGATCATTGCACAGGAGGTTATCAACGTAACCGACAGCGATTAGAGCATGATACTGTTCTCTCTGAAGAACCAACAGTGACATTTCTCAGGGACATGACAGGAGAGGTCATGTGCAAAACTCTGCATCTCAGGCATGAAACCCCCACAGCTCCAATGGATCAAAATGTTCCGAGTTTCTTCCTGTTTGAAATGCAGATGAAACAGTTCAATTCATCATGACTGAATGATATGACTTTTGATAGTTTGTCAGGTATTCCGACAGCGAATCGCGACTATTTGGTACGACTGAGTTTTATGTGCCAGACAGACTTAACCTAAAAGCTTAAACTGATGAGGAAAGATAAACATGGTACACTTAGATAAGTACTCCAATAAAGAATTACAATTATTCGGTATAATTTAGTTCTGTGTACCAAACAATTCGTCTAAAAGCTTAACCTATTTAGTTCTATGTACCAAACAATTCGTCTAAAAGCTTAACCTCATAAGAAAAGACAGACAAGGTACACTCAAATGGGTACTCCGACTTTGAATTGTCGGTACAATCGAGTTCTGCGTGCCAGATTGTCCATTTAAAAGCTTAAGCTGATGAGGAAAGGTGGACACGGCACGCTTAAGTAGGTCTGAG